ACGCTTCTGCTTCACAGCTCGCCGTCTCGACGGAACAGTACTCTCAGTAAGAGGTGATTCCAAAGAATCCACATGATCCAGATCATCATCTGCTGATATCTTGTAGGCGCGCAGCCTTTCTTTAAGACGTAAATTCTCGGCGCGCAGTTTACGAAGCTCATAACTCTGTTGTATTGGGGCGTAATTGCCATCTTCTGCAATGAAGTGGCAGTCGCGTGGAGAGCCACGAGCACAACATGCCGAGCATGGTTTAGTGCGATCACACTATGCTACGTCAGCTCAGTGTGCAGTCAAAGTGCACCGCGAGGATATTGTCCGCATCTCTTATATCGCAATCTGTAATGCGAATCGATGAATGTGACTGACCTTGACCTTTCGCTCTCTGCATTTTGTACATGAGAGCAGTTGGCGCGGCTGTTGAGCCTGTTGCTTCTTCCGGTTGGTCTCGGCCAAGATTGAGGCCTCGTCTTGCGCGATATGCATGTGTGCGCCAGTACTTTCAGCCATGGTAGAAAATGATCGCTATGCTAGGTTATGTTGCGTAGTGGTGAATACTGGGCGAGAAGCGATACAAAGACAATTGGCTATTGATTGGGTATAGTAAGTGATCCCATAGATGAATACTGGATATTTGGTGGGCCGTTGGACCTCGGATAATAAAGGCTTCGGGGTACCATTATGTAGGGACGAAATGACAGACATCACCTAAGGTCAACTGCCGTGATAAGTAAACGAGAACCTGGAGCCTCATTCTTGAATTGAACGTCCGCGAGTCATTGGAAGAAAGACGAACGCCAATGATAGATATGCTGGGCTTTCACCGAATTTTGGGTTACCGAATAGGTGGTGTTGCATTGCGTTGACGCTAATCCTCATCAACGTTGAGGCGCTGTTGTACAAAAGATATCGCCAAGCGGGTTGAAGGGACCGTCGGGGCATTACAGGATGCTTGACACGGCACACAGATCTGACGCACCTTTTGACGGCCCGAGCCTCTGGGTCTCCCCAAGCGCACGCGCATGCACGACGAACCGGGTTGCTTGCCGTGTTGCTTCCTCATCTCCATAACCGAGCGGAGAACACGATCTTGACACCACGGATCTACACGAATGCTGGCTGTTCGTAGCAAATGCATTAGTGGCTTGGAATGGCTTGCAGGTGCGCGTGCTGTGACGCCTCCGTCGCTCTAGCCTCCATCGGCAAATTCCCATTGCTTCGGACGTTATTGCTGCGCACTATCTTGACCATTTCGCAGCCCACCATAGTCTTGAATGTGAGGCTGGCAATTTGGAATCGGGTGCGTGATTGAGGGCGATCTGCAATGACGGAGGGCCCGTCCCGTGCTGTGGTACAAAAACGCCTCCTCACGCCACCGCGGGACGCCAAGCCATTCGCCTGTCAGACATACAGTCTGCTCGGAAGGAAGTATGGTGCTTATCGATAGAACCCAAGTCTCTACACGATGAACTTACACCATAATTTTGACTCCATGCTCACTCAAAGCGCATCGGTGACTCGATCAAGGAGGCGAATCGGCTTGACATAGATCAACCTCGTGAAAAGGTCGACCCTATCTAGCGCTACTTCCCACTCGTCACCTTCTTTATAGTCACCGCTCAGGACAGCTTGGAGACCGTACTCAGGTATATCGCCAAGGGCGTAACGGCCTGGGCGAACGCGACGAGCCCAGAACTTAAAGGAATCGGGAAGAGCAGCCTCTTTGTATTTGAGGGCACGGTGAATCGCCTGAGCGACCCAAAACCGCGTTGAGTGACGCTTGGCCAGGGTAATGATCCGTTCCCGAGGTGAAAGAGTTACAATGGATTCCTGCATTTGTCGTTGCGAGAATGGAAGAGCTTTGTACATGGAAGCCTGGGTCCCATCGAACTTCCTACCGGACTGTGCCTCCCATCGCACAGCGGCTTCGATTTGCCAATGTGCAATCATATCAGAAAATCGACGAAGAGGGCTGGTGACCTTGATATAACCAGGTACTCCTATGATTTTATGTGGCAAGGGCGAAGAATGTGCAACAGCCATGCCAAGTGCTTTGAACCACCGCGCAGTGAGATCAAGTCGTACTTTTCCATGCTCTTCGTAGTGAGCTTGGACGAGCTTTTGTAGCTCTTTTGGATCCAGATCCCCGCTAGGTGGTTCGATAGTGCCTCTGTACATGACGGGGATATGCCTCTCCGTGCACCAAGCCGCCGCAGTTTGACCCGCAAGCATCATCATTTCTTCAACGATGTTCTTGGGCCCGATGGTGAGCTGCATAAAGCCTTCTGGTATCGAGTTCGTCACCTCGATGATCGGGTCTCCTTGTATATATCGTGCCCTATCCAGAGAAGGAGCGTTCCAACTTAGACCTCCCTGAGTGGTGCTTTCAAAAACACGGGCGTTGACGTTCGAATTACCAAATCGGACGCCACCAGCAGCCTTGCGAGCAGCCCATAGCGCTTGAGCTGCACTATAGAGATCACGCAGCTCTTCGAGTTGACTTGGAGAAACACTAGGCGGCGGCCGCTCCGATCCACGCGGCACCTCTCCGCCGACAACAATCCTTCGGGTGTTCGTAGTACTCTGATCACCCATGAGAGTAGCCAACTCGGATGGTGTGATACTGACGATATTTTGAATGAAGCCGTGCTGTATCTTTGTTTCTAGCTTACTGCCAGCTCCGTCGATGCGAGTACTAAAGGTTATAACAGGGCGGCCACGATCAAGACTGAAGTGGCCTTGACTAGCCCAAGTCGGAAGCATCGGGAAAGATCGCTCCGGTGTATAGACAGACTCGGTCATGTGCGCGGCGAGTCCAGACAGGGTGTGGGTCTTATCGAAGAATGCTGTTGGGTTTGCGACGTGTACGTGGATCCAGAACTCAGAGCTTGCGTCTTTGACCCGTTCAATCGATATGCCATCATCGATCTCCTGGGCGCCGACATCGTCAATGCAATACACGGTGGTCGAACCCCAGTCGCGACGTAGGTTCGCCATTGAATCCCGGAAGTCAGGATTCCTTCTTGTCAACTCCGCTTTAGTATTGAGTAACTCCAGATTACGAGACAGACGGACAGTGGGCAGCATCAGCTGCTCGTCATAGATCGCGCGATTGTCGTGTGGTGAAATGACGCCAATTTCTTGTAAAAACAACAATCCAGTAGCACGTTTGATGTTGCTTAGGGTATCGTCGGGAGATCCGGTATCGCCAAAGACGTCCGAACCATAGAAACCTGATGCTGAGATCAAGCTCGCACAAGCAGCATGGAGACCAGCCATACCCGTAAACTGACCGGTCAGTACCCATGCTTGTAGGAAGTTGATGATCTGCTTGTCAGCACCTGTGAACGGCTCCCCCCAAGTGATGTGCAGATTAGAGGGCCCGTTCTGTGTCGCTGGAGTCTTACTGGGTCCAAGGCCGCCGTAGGTTGGCTCACGTAACTTTCGACTCGCTGAAATAAGCCTGCCGGCCTTTGCCAGGAAGTCTATGATATGAGTGGCACCGTCAGTACGGCTTCGCTTGGCTTCCGAAGGGCTATTGACGGAAAGAGCAAGATATTCTCTGTATTCTCGGATCCACTCGTGAACTGTTTCTACGACCTCGACATCGGTTTTGGGTCGTATAGCGAACATGTTCGTAAGGCGATGGTTACGACCATCGGAACGAAAGCGAAATTCGTTGTGGTTCAAGGCCTTTCGTACTGCTAGTAGCGCTGCTGGCGGTGGTACCCAGTCGGGGGAACCCCGCGCGAGCAGAAACTTCGCAATTTGTGTCAGTGTCATCATACGTGTCCTCGTCTTGTCTGCCAGGATATCATAGGCTGTGTCCAAGACTGGAGCATTCTTTCGGTAGATCTTCTCGGCTTCTTCAGTCATATTCTCAAGACTCGCTATCACAGGAGCAGCAAAGTCTCGCGGGACATGAACCTCACCCTTGGGATTAGCCGCGCCGGGATCCGTGGGTAGGAATGGAATGAGCGGCTGGAGAAGTGCTGGGTCGATGCAACCTTGGATGGCAAATGAAACCCGACTTATGGTCGAATGCGTCCATCTGCCGTTGACGGAGAAGAACTGACTGTCGTTGTTCAGTTGCTGCACGAACACAGCAAGCACAGGTTCACGACCCGGTTGTGAGAGTTCCACCACGTCGCCAGGCTTCAAGAAGAGCCCAATCGTAATCACTTCTTCGCCCTCGTCTTCCTCAGCAGCATCCCACTCATTCTCTCTGGCGTCTTCGTCGGCCTTGAACGCGGACGACAACTTCGACAGGCCATTTTGTATGTCTTCACGTTCGGGATGATTCTCAAACGCCGATAGTACTTCCTCGGTCGGCCCACCAAACTGCTGTTGCCACTGCTCGAGGTATTCGCGGATTGCAACGCCCTCAGGTCGAGGAAGAAGAGACGGTTCTGGAGGCGGTGTGGGAGTTGCGGTATGTGAGGATATTTGCGAGCGCTGATATGTGTCAGTTTGTGAATGGCATACTGAGCGAGTCACTTACACTGCTAGCGACATGAAGCGCCCGCCTTGGTGTTTGCGAAACTTTCAAAGTAGAAAGCCCGCGTGAAAGTTGTATTTGTCGAGAGGCATTTCGCTGGTTTAGCAAGCGCCATTGACACCGCAGGCATACATGGCCCGCTGCCTGCTGAAATCGAGGATACATGTTGAGGCGAATGGTGGATGATGTCGTCAATACAAAAAGTGCGGCGGAGGGAAGGCGCGCTCGGGTGGTGGTCTGTGCAGACACGCTAATGGCCGCGCGAACTCACATGTTCCTCTGCACACCTCCGTCCATCTTTCTTACACCTCACGCGCCCAAGGTATGTACATCATCTCCTTCCACCCAACCCCCTTTCATGATGTATTCAAAATTATAGCATGTATTATCCGACCGTCGCTTCGGCGTCAGACTGCGGAGCAAATTTTTTCCTGATTGAATTTTATGTTCCCACTTAGGACTTGACGATGTCGCGACACAGTTCTGACATGTCTCGACAGGCATCATGGCACCCGCCAAAGCGCCTGCGGGCCAATTCTCGATCCTGTACTTCGCAGCAGCCTCCACCTTCACTGGCAAGACGAGCGAACATCTTCCTGCACCCGTCCGAGCTCGCGACGTCTTTGCTATGCTGGAGGAGCGGTACCCGGATATTCGTGACAAGGTGCTGAGCAGCTGCGCGATGACGATCAACATGGAGTACGTTGACGTTGGCGAGGATGATGCCGAGGACGCGAACAAGCAGATCGTGGAAGGTGATGAAGTTGCTATTATCCCACCTGTCAGTTCAGGATGAGCTCAACGGGATGGTTTTATGTTATTAATGATGTTATGAACTCGATCTCTTTAATGAACTCATTACAACGTTTACGAATTTTGCTTTGTATGCGATCACATGTGGTATGACAGAAGACTTATGCTAGAGCTTCGACACAAGTACTGCTGTAATTCCCGATGACGCCTCATTACATGCTATTCGAGGGGAATTAAATCCCGGCTTTCTGTAGAATTGGAAAGAACACTTGCTCAGAAGTCTACATTAAATTCGACTATTGCCAAATCTTGTCTTTATGCTAATGTAGACGGCAGTGCATGTGTTTAACTCTGATGTGTGAGGTGATAGACAGAAGCAAAAGTGAATAGCTATGAATCCAGTTTGGCTTGGCGCACGCACTGACGCCTGAACGCCGAGGTTTCTGTCAACTTTACCCACAGGCGGAAGTTCGGTCACTATACTACCGACGCCGACAGTCATTGAACTTAAGCCTCGAGATTGACGATTCGTGATGTCCGATCCGTTGCTCGATCCTAGACTTTTTGCGAGCGCGTCTTCAGCGCCATCTTCGCGGCCTCAGTACGCGTCTGCACCGCAGCAGCAGCAGAACACCGGCCACCCATACTACCTGCCATCTCCGACCGCTCAACACCACCCCCAGCTATCGCAGCCCGCCCCACTAGGGAACATACTCGATCCCGCCCTCGAGCAGACATCGCCGACCGCACCAGGAACAGAGCACGATGACGACGACCACGACGACCACGACGACGCGCATGAACACGACACACCTGGGTCTGGCAAATCTCCTGCCGACCTCAAGCGCCCACGAGCATGCGATTCATGTCGAGGACTGAAGGTCCGCTGCGACCAAGAGCGACCTGATGTATCATGCAGACGTTGCGCAAAAGCAGGCCGACCTTGTATTACAACACCGCCGACACGGAAGCGCCAGAAGAAGGCCGACAGTAGAGTCGCCGAGCTCGAACGCAAGATAGATGCATTGACAGCCACACTACACGCGCAGAAGTCGGGAGTACCGGGCGTACCGGAAATCAGGCACCATGGAGGCATACCACAACCCGGCGCCAGCGCCAACGCGATACCCATGCCGGTTGAGGGTCAATATCGCATGGGAACAGTCGAACACGACTGGGCGCAGCCGCCGACGGCCAGATACCCAGACATACCAGCCGGCTATGGTCCGGCACAGAGCTTGCACAGAGGGCCCGAGCCAAAGCGTAGGAAGATGGACAATGCGCACGCTGTGAGTCGAATCAATGGTATGTAAAGCCAAAACTAACATTTCAGACGATCCCCGAGGATATGGATGCTATTCATCGCGATCTAGCAGAGCACCCGGAGATGCGACGGACAAGCAAGAACAAGATCCACGCCGACCATTCACACATCAGTGCTTTGATCGACAACCTCATGACGCCGGATATTGCGGAGCGGGTTTTCCTCCGCTACGTGAACGAGATTTGTCCACATTTCCCTGCCGTACCTTTCCCTCCTGGTACGACAGCGCGCGAAGTCCGAGAGAAAAAGCCGCTCCTGTTCCTCGCTGTCCTGGCTGGATCTTCGCACGGGAGTGCAGAACAACTGGTCTCGCAAGAGGCGCAACGCGAGTTGACCAAGCTCCTCAAAGATCAGCTTGCCGACATCATCTGGCGCAACGGAGAAAAATCGCTCGAAATCGTTCAGGCATTACACATATCTGTGCTTTGGTATCGGCCGCCTCTTCATTTTGAACAGCACAACTTCTACATGATGGTCAACTGCGCTGCCGTAATGGCTCTTGACCTAGGTCTCGGAAGGAAGGCAACTCCAAATGTCATGAGACTTTCGGTTGGTCCGTTCAAGAGGTACCATCCCAACTCTAGCAGTGTCGAAGCCCGTCGGACTTTCCTTGTGTGTTACTATCTCTGCATGAGTATTACAATGGTTCTGCGACGACCAATTCTGCTCCGCTGGACTAATTACATGGCGGAGAGTGTTCGCATACTGGAGACCTCGCCAGAGGCATTGCCTTCAGACAGACTGCTTTGCCAGCAGGTCAAGATGGCGCACATTGGAGAAAAGATCTCAGTGGAGTTCTGCATGGATGACCCTTCAGTCGAGGTCACCATTTCCGATCCAAAAGTCATCTACGCCCTGAAAATTTTTGAGAACGAGCTCAGCTCACTCAGGGAGGAGAATTCCTCTCTGGGTGAAATTGATCGTAGGTTGTAGCAGTCATGATTCATTGCATCTACTGACAGTCGTAGCAACCCTTCGCTTAGCAGAACACGTCACAAACCTATACCTGCATGAAATTGCACTGCACCAAAATCAGGGCTCGGCCGATCTACAACCCCCTTTTGTTTCGGATACGTTGTCGCCCTCTCTACCATCTGGAGTCAAAAAAGATGTACCTGCTGGCCCAGCACACATAGGTGCCCTGGGTGATTGTCTCACTGCTACGCACGGTATCCTAGACACGATCCTAAGTATCGAACTTGACATCCTGCTGACTCTGCCTGTCATTTTCTGTAATATGCCCTGGTCTCAACGTAATGTACGCGCTAATACAATCCAGGTGTACGGGCCATTTACGCTATCGTTTGCCTAATGAAGATGTGGGTATCAGTCACCAGCTCCGGCGAAGTGGGTAGTATCATCTGCCAGGAAGATCTCAAGATCGAGGCCTATACCGAACAACTAGTCTCCATGTTCAATGCCATTGTCTCCCGCGATGCTCAATCGCCCCATGGAAAGTTCTACTTCGTTGCGAAGCGCCTTCAAGAGCGGTTCGCTCACATCAAAGAGGGTGCTGCTGGCGAGCAACAAACGGATCCCGAATACGACTCCACCCGAAACAACAGTCAAACTTCCCGACCCTCCACGCGCCAATCACCTGCAAACCAAACCCCGCTTCACCTTCTCTCGGAAGTCGCAATGGGTAGCAGCAACAATGTCGCTTCTCAGCAACAGCAGCAGCAGACGCAAGCGCAGGCACAGGCGCAATCTCGTTCTCAACAACAAGCTCAGGCCGCTTTACAGGCCCACGCGCAGCATTCTCAGCAAGCCATGCCAAACTGGTACCCTAACATGAACGCACAGCCTACTCCAGATATGATGGGTCTTGGTGCACAACAACCATTCGATATCAACTTCGATTTCACCCAATTCGATCTAGGCACAGGCTCGGACGCAGATCTGTCAGCACTGTTCATCCCGGACTCAATGGCAATGTGGGGTTACCCTGCCGATCCCAACATGCAGGGTGGTTACAATGGATACTGAGGTGCGCTGCAGTCTACCTACGCGTAAAAAAAAATACAGTTGCAACTTTGGGGTGTAATGTAGACTTCTGGGTCATTGTATTGTATCGTATGTAAAATCACTATACAGGTAGAAGTACAAAAGCGTGTAACACTACAAGATATGGCGCCGACCATTTGCTCAAGCATGAATCCATTGTTCTCCGCCACCAATATCGCCCTTACAGTACACCCTGCCGCGCCATGTATCGTATATCATCACTCCAACTTGAAGCCAGTCTTTCTCAAAAACGCCTCCACCCCCGTCAACTCCCCCTTGACCTGCTCCTTCGCCCACTGAACAGCCTCCTTCTGCCCCTTGCCATAATACCCATACTCCCTGTTCAACACGAACATCTCATACAACTGCTCCCGGAACCCCTCCGGGAAGAAACCCTTGACTACCTCATCTGGAAGCTGAACATGCTTGACCGTCTTCCCCGTCACCTTGCTCATGATCTCGGCGACCTCGTTCGGCGTATACAACGCCTCTGCTGCAGCAAAGAACTTGCCGGCGTACTTGTCTGGTTCAGCAAGGATAGCCCCAACCCATTTTCCCGTCTCGGTGATGTCGATGTACGGTACAGGAGTGTCGCCCGGCAAGATATCCCCCAATACGAACGTACCGTCATTCGCAGGAGAAGGACGGGGCTTCATCATGCCCTCAAAATTTTGCATAAACGATGCTGGAGCAAAGAACGCGCTTTGAACAGGCAAACCGCGGATATACTCTTCGATCTCAGCTTTGTCGTCAAAATGCTCTACGTTCTTCAGCTTCCCGTTGCTGATCTTGAACGGGTGCGACATGGAGCTGAAGATGATGTATTTGACACCTTGCTTGATGGCTTCGCTGCATACGGCGCGTGCTTGGCGTGTTTCGACTTCGCGCGTGAAGCCGGTGTATTGCGTTGTTGTTATGAGGAAGACGTGCGTGCAGCCTGCTAGGGCGGATGGGAGCGTCGTGGGGTCGTCCATGTCGGCTGCGGATAGCTCTGCACCGAGAGAATGTAGCTCTTGCATCTTGGGGGAGGTGGTAGAGCGCGAAAGGGCGCGGACACTGTACAAGGCTGATAGGGAGGGGTCGGTGAGGACGGTGCGGGCGACAGAGTTGCCTTGGTTGCCTGTGGCACCGAAGACGGCGATTTTAGACTTGGACATCTTGGGGCTTTGGTGTTTGGTGAGGATGTGAATGATGTCTTGACAGTGATAGTATGTTGGTAGATACGAAAGTTGATGATCACCTACCTTATATACCTCTTTGCTACTCTGATCTATCAGTCATCTTAGTCGGGCCACGTCTTGAACCAAGCCACGCATATACGCCCATCATAGAGATTCCGGGTGTAGTCATCGGACTTTACGCTTTAAAACCATCTGAAGTTTTTCGACATTGCGAATCTTCAATACGGAAATGGCCCGTTTTGTAGTACGACTGAGCCGGTGTATCGAGCCAATAGTACCGCGTGTTTACAGTGTCCTGGATGTAAGGCATCCGACGCGAGTGTTGTTGATGCTGGTGTCATGAAGACGGTGATCGGAGATGCTAAGTTCTCCGATCCGGCTCCGAGCTAGCGCATTTCGAGCTCTTAACTCCACTAAACACCATGCCCAGACTCCCAGCTTCGTCTTTCCACATCGCGCAGTTCGTCCTAAGCACCAGCGGACAAATTCCGTACCTATGACGCCAAGTTATCTTTCACTCTAGTCCGCCCGCAGGTCCCGACGATGACCTGGCCGTGAAAACGACTAACCGCCCGTCCTTCATTACGTCATGCGTCTTTGTTCACACCTGGTCAAATTAAGTGAAGGACACACTTTCCTTCATTACCTAGGTATGATACGAGTTGCAACGGCGAAGATGAACTCAGCCACCAAGATGATGCAACGAATCGACTCAATGGGTCCAGGCAAATCCTCCTGGGCCAACGACCGCTCGCTAACACAACAGCAATGGATATGCATATTCCCAATTACTCAACATTTCCATTGACGCGTCGGCAAAAAGCAAAATTCCATTTCAGATCCTCCAGTTGTGTCGAAGTCTGGCTCTCGTCTGACACATCATGCCAGCCTGACCAACAAGACTGGATTCGTACCTCGTGCATGAGACAGGGCAACCTCTGAAACTTCACGGGAAGGTTGTCGGCGATCAAATCCTACAGATCAGATTTTATCAAGATGTTATTGTCCCTGGCAAATGTTCTCATGCAGTCCATCTCGATTTGTAAAAGGGGGTTGAGAAGGGATTACTCAGACAAGCATGGTCTCTAACACCTCGAGTCCTTCCCAGGTCGGACATTGCGACTTAACCTACGCGAGCACCCCGTAACCTTGCAGACCACCAACAATCCAATAAAACCTCGTCGCCCCATTCTTCGGTTGCCGTCGAATGGGGTGTTACCCGCTGGTTCCCTTCGGGATTGGCGACCGCTGCAGGTACGAGACAGGAAGGTAATCCCTTTGCATCGGCATCGTGGTTCATCACACCTCACTAATGCGAACTGGACTATCCCTTTGGTTCTAGAGATCATTCATAAACAATGGCTATTCACCAAGATGATAATGGTCGGCGTGGTTCTGTTGGCCGCTTGCGCGATTGTCACGACTCGATTGCGACACCGGAACGAAATCCACAATTCTACATTCACCTTATTCCTTCTCCCGTCTATTTGAGTTCAGCGCATACTTCAAAGTCTCGCAATTCTTCCACGCTCACTGCGACTTCTCAACTAATTCTAGATCACCCCGACCGACTCCATTGAAGTTCCCGATTGCAAGACTCGCCTCAAGCAATCACATCATGAGTCGCCAGATCGTCGTTGCATCATGCTCGCTTGCTCAGTGGGCTCTGGATTGGGAGGGCAATTCTACCCGTATCAAGCAGAGCATCCGCGAAGCGAAAGCCAAGGGTGCTACATTGCGCGCTGGACCAGAACTGGAAGTAAGTTATCTTTTTTGTTTATCTTCTCTCGAAGGCGCTTTTCCACGCCTGAGACACTTCTCTGGTCATCCACACCTCGAAATTTTGCCATCCATCGGAACTTAGTGCTTCACAAGGCTACCTACATATTAGGCGTTAAGCACATTTGCTGTACCATCGTTCCCGCTAACCAAACTAGATTTGTGGGTACGGCTGTCATGATCATTTCTACGAGGACGAGCTATACACCAATTGCTGGGAAGCACTCATTGGTATCCTCACGGATGAGTGTTGTGACAACATGCTCGTAGACATTGGTATGCCAATCAAGCATCATGATTTCCGATACATCTGGCAAGTACAATGCTTCGTTGCTCCGATAATCTACTAACAACCCGTCAGCAGAGTGATGGCACACAACGGTAGAATTGTCTCGATACGTCCGAAAACAACTCTGAGGACTGACGGCAACTATAATGAGTCGAGGTGGTTTACCGCTTGGGATCCCACTATTCCACCCGAAGCATTTCCCCTACCAGACTTCATTGCGGACATGCAGGGCACCAGCGTCGTTCCCTTCGGCAGTGCTCTACTCTCCACTTCAGGCGCTTGTATCGGCGCCATCACATCCGACGAGTTGATTGGGCTCGAAGATTTGCTTCCAACAGCCTTGAGCTCGACAAGCGCTGATGTGTTGACGGTCTCTGCAGCCAATCACTTCAGTGTCGGGAACTTCGACTCCCTGGTATCTTCACTGCAGAATATCAGCAAAGACATTGGGGGAGTTATCCTCTACTCGAACCAGCATGGCTGCGATGGCGATCAAAGCTACTACGACGGTGGCCCGATGATCTTGGTGAACGGAGAAATAGTTTCTCAAGGCCCAAGGTTCTCGGTCCACGATGTTGAGGTGGTAACCGCTGTCGTCGATCTGGACGAGGTTGAATCGTATCGGGCGAAACAAGCAGTCTCGGAGCCCCTCGATGACCTTACCACGCCCCGTGTAGACGTAGCATGCAGTTTGTATCGCCCTGAGCTTGCCAGCCTCCGCCCGGATCATCATCATCCTATTGTCCGGGGCCCAAGCTTTCACACATTGGAAGAAGAGATCGCCATGGGACCAGCCTGTTATCTTTGGCATTACCTCCGCCGCAGCGAATGCGTCGGCTTTCTAGCGCCACTGAGCGGCGGTATTGACTCGTGCTCGACATCAGTGATGGTGTTGAGTATGTGCTATCTGGTTTTCGACGCGCTTCAAGACGGGAACGAGGTCGCATCAGACATCCAGCGCATCACAGGATCAAACGACTGGCTGCCCAAGACCCCTCAGGAGCTCTGCAACCGCATCCTGCACACAGTGTACATGGGCATGTCAGAATGCTCGTCCGAAGAAACACGTTCACGAGCTCAGCGTCTGGCAGACGGCATGGGCGCCCACCACATCAGCATGTCCATCGATACCGTATACCGAGCCGAGCGAGATCTACTCCCTCAGTACACAGGCTTCACCCCCGATTTCCGAGGCTCTTCAGCGGAGAACCTAGCACTCCAAAACCTGCAAGCACGTATCCGCTCAACCACAGCCTACTATCTCGCCCGCACCCTGCCCGTCATCCGCAACCACCCCGGCGGAGGCGGCCTCCTCGTCCTAAGCTCCGTCAACGTGGAAGAGTCCCTCAGGGGCAACTTAACAAAGCACGATTGCAGCTCCGCAGACCTCAGCCCCATCGGCAGTATCTCCAAGATCCAACTCCGATCCTTCATCCGCTGGGCACGTACCGCTTTCACCCTACCCATCTTAGACGAGTTCCTCGACGCAATTCCCCGCGCTGAACTCGAGCCCGCTAGTTTCGGTTCATGCGACGACAAGGAAAACGGCATGACGCATCAAGAGCTTTTCGTCTTTGCCAAGCTGCGCAGTGAAGAGCGACTGGGGCCGTTCGACATGTTCCAGCGTCTGCTGTGTGACTGGCAGGACAGGAAGAGTGCGAGGGAAGTGGGAGATCTGGTGAAGCGGTTCTGGACTTTCTATGGTAACAACAGGCATAAGATGGCGGCGGTGACGCCGGCGGTCCACGCAGCGGGTTACAGTCCTGATAACAGGTTTGATCAAAGACCCATGTTGTATCCACGGTTTGAGCATAGTTGGGCGTTCAAGCGGATCGATGGGGTGGTTGATGAGCTGGAGCGTAGAGTCAAGATGGAAGAAGATGAGGAGATACGTTTTGGGGAAGTGGGGTTTGAAGAGGAACCGCGCGTAAAAGCAAGGCTGTAGACATGGACTCTAGACGATGAGGTTCGATTAGATGGAGGGTTTTGCATTGTACTTAATCATCTTTATACACGGTTTGTTATTCTACTCAACCCACCTCCCCCTCTCGACGTCCAATTGTACACCCTCCTCCTTCAGTGCTCCCTCAAGCGCACCGTGCCCCTTCCACCCATGCCCAATTCTCCCAGTACTGCTCAATCTCCCCAAATCCTTTCCGCTTTTCCTCCTAAAATAGGCTTTCTGGTCTTCAGTCGGCCCTTTCTTCTTCCACTGCCCTGTCTTCTTGTTGAACTGATATCCGTTGTACCAATACTCTGTCAGGGCGTCTGTACCATATTCCTCTAGCAGCAGCTCCTCATATGCATACGGGACCTTTACGTTTACGCCCTCTAGTGTGGATTGTCGAAGGGGAAATATTTGGGTGTTGAGGTAGGCGTGGGTGTCTTTGACATAGAGTAATGTTTCGTCGTCGAAGGCGTCAGGATCGGATTCGTGGGCTGAGGGATGGGTGCTGGAGTAGGGAGAGTTGGCGATGGAATTCTGTTCCGAGGCCGGTGCGACGTGGAGTGTTGTGATGTCGATGTACAGCCCATTGTTTACATCGATCCAGCGTATGTCGATGTGGTTGTATATGTCTGACGTAGATTTGTTGGTGTAGTTCGGGTTTACCTCTAGGAGGTATTTCTTGCCCTCTTTCCTAATGTCTTCTTCCCATGCCAGACGCTTCGAGCGCGTTTCTGCATCTTCGTCCTGATGCTCCAAGCCGTGCATGATTCCTTTCTGCTTGACCTGACCATCCTCGTTGTCTGGTGCAAGTTCAAGCCCCAGTTCTCGAGCGTTGAACTGATGAATTGTCATGTTCCACCATGTACCCAATTCTCGTGCGCCGTCCTCTTCTACGAGGAAATCCAAGTCTTTATCCCACGGCATCAAGCTTTTGCCCCACCACCATCCAAGCAAACATCCATGCATTATCCATGTTTGTACTCCAATCCTCTCCATCGTGTCGGTGTACGCCTTCAGCATAAGCCTGAGATGCCATATACGTTCTTGGAAGGGCACCTCGGAAGATGCGAAACGTCCATCGTAGTGGCTGTTGAATGTAGATTCGTAAAAGTATTTGGTCGGCGCGTGCGCGTAGGTATGCCCATTGGAAAAGGAGTTGACCAGGGGCGTGAGGCCGCGGAATGAGCGGAAGGGTGTGCTGCGGCGTTCGAGAGGGAGCGAGGTGGTGAGATGTAGGAAGTGCGTGAGCAGAACCAAAAGTTCTACAGGAAGTCTCATCGTGACTGGGGCCTTGTCGGTATGAAGCGCATTGTTCTACCGTCTCGTTATCGCGGTTCGGGGTATTGTCGATCCAATGTCGATGACGCTATAGTGGGAAAAGATGCATGTAGCCAAAGTGAAGCATAACAGCGCAATCGCAGAAGGGCCAAACGAGGTTTACCGACGAGACGATGGAGAGAGGGTCGCAACAACCCGTTATCGTGTTTCTACATGGCGAGCGCAGGAGCCGAATTCGATGATGGGCCGACGCGCAGAGCCAAGGACGATCAAGCACGCGCCAAGACCTCTCACTCGCCCACGCTGCCGGCCTCATTGTTCTAGCCCGCATGGATTTGCTGAGTCTAATCGGCTAGCGTGTCATTCACAGCTGCTGTGAATGTGGAGCTCGTTCAAGCCGATTGCGCGTTCGCAGTCTCGTTGTTACTAAAGGCGGCTACTCAAGCTGCATCCTGTGTCGTATGGTGTCGTTGCTATCTGAGGCTAAGGGAGTGCAAGTGCGGGCCAGCCACGTGAAAACGAAGTCTGGCAGGCTAGAGTACGCGTCCTCTAGGCCGGCACCGCACGTGCGATGCCGCATCGTAACCACACTTCTCGCTAGATATGGCGTACGAGACATTGATCGAAACACATCTTTTCGGCGCTGGCAGTAGCATGGCACAGGATCCTCGTACAAAAACTTGATTGTGTTATCACGCGCTATCAACCCAGTCGATCATCCCCGCTCTACCACTCAATGATGTGCAGGCACGATCCGACGCGCTATTAGCTGGCGAAAGTGCGCTTCGGTCCGCCAAGAGACTCGGGTCCAGAGGAGGAAGACTCCATTGTTCTGTTATGGTAACGCTAATGTACGATCTTGAGAGCTGCATAAGGGTATGAAGCTTATAGTCAACTACGTCGTCATCACGGTCGATCAATATGTTCAGGTATCAAGGTATATGCGGGGTAAATGGTGAGTAACTACCCACAAGTGCAGTTCACGAGATGAGGACCATACTATGTGATTATCTGTATTGCATTTCATAGTTCTACAACCACAACAAGTGACCAGCTTTAGGTTGGTTTAAACCATAGGAATAAGTACCCAAGCACAAGTTTCCCGTCATCTACACATATCCACATGCGGCACCTCCAAACGTCCTGGTGAAGCTGGGGAAGGAAGAGACAATCTCGACCTCAGACCAGCCTGCCAACAATTTGATAGGGTTCCATCGCTCAGATCCAAACAGGCTCACTGAAAGAACGGACGCCGTTGAGTACGGCTAATTACACTTTCCACCGCTTTTGTTCGTGTGAAGTAAGTATACATTGAGAAAAATAAGACAATCCGGTGCTCGTGTACGCAATGCCGGAGAGACGAAATGGAAAGACAAGCTAAGAACTGTATGTTCATTCATAAGTAAAAACGCCGTGATACGCCGCCCGATGTTGAAACGCCACAATGGGAGAGTGAGCGCTGAATATGCGAAAGTCAGAAAATGAGGGAAGGAGAATCTATCAACAAGCACGTCTGCGGCGCCGGCAAACAGAGCGACAAACAAGGAAACCCAGAAAGCCAGCAATTAAAGGGGTATATTTGCGAAGCGTGGAAAGTCACTCAGATCCTTTTTCGTATTTGACGGGGTGGAAGAGCGTATTGCGCATGCATAACCGGCCGGTGCCGGCTTCCTCTTCTTGTGGGCCACCCTTGTCGTTCTCGCGAGAGCCGAGCCACCTTCGCCACCACTCGGATGAGAAGCCAGCATTGTAGTAAAAGCTGTTGCCGAGCTGGTTATGTTCACCCCAGCCGAAAACGCTGTCGGTCGGCTTAGGAGGCTTGTTGAAGGTGCCATCGAGGGCTTCGAGTGGCCAGTTGTGATCAAAGTACACGGGGTGTGCAGCATAGACGGCCTTGAGACCGTGGTGGAAAGCGACTGTTGGAGGCCACATTTCAGGGAACATGTGGTGCTTCATGAGGTATGTCTCGCGATGCATAAGATCCAATAGGCGTTTCGACAGACGCGAAACAGTAATGATAGCGCATCTCCGCGGGGGTTCCGGGAGCTCGAGATCGTAACCTGTGACGTCGTCGCGGAAAACCCAGTTGGTCTTGGCCGGATCAAAGATTGGGTTGAATGTGATGATGTCGGCATCCTCGCCAACACCCCACTCATAGTTGTCTTGCGAGTACGAGTGTGGGGGCTCGGTCTCGGGAGGGCTGGGAAGCATGCCGGTGTTTTCGAATTTGGGTGGGCCCCAGACAGGCTTCTCGTCGCTGTTGTAGAGCTCCTCCTCAACCATCTCGGTGAAGTTCTTCCAGGATCCGTGAAGCTCAGGAATGTAGTAGCGAGATGATCGCTCCCACAAACCTTTGCGAGGCTGCTTCTTGGCCCACTCGCCAATCTTGTTGTGGAACTCGTAGTAGTGGCCGCTGAGACGGAGATCCATCTCCCAGTTCCAGTAGAAATCGTACTCTGGGCGAGCTTGCGCGAACCATTGCATTGCGAAGTGGGCGCTGCGGTAGACAGAGTGGACGGGGGCCTTGGCGTGGTTGTAGACGTTGTTGGGGAATGGCTCTGGGTAGTACATGCGCATTTGCTGCTCAGACCAGAGGGTCGCCATGCCCCAGAACTCTTTGGGTAGGTTGTCTTCGATGACCTTTTGGTAGATCTCTTCCGAGGACCAGATAGGGAGGCTATCGTCCTTGACGTGGAGGAGGAAGTGCACATCGTACTCGCCTCCGGACTTCAGCGCGAGCTCGTTGATCATGGCGCGCAGAGTGAGGATCTGGTAGTCACTGTACTTGTAGCCGGTCCAGGTACGGAGAACGTAAGCGTGGCGTGGCACCTTCTTCTTGGCGGGTGCAGTCTCTTCGGCGGTGGTGTTCTTCTTGAAGCGGTGGGCGTTCTTCTCACGGCATCGCTTCATGGCGGACGCCCAGTTCACCTTGCGGTAGTCGACCTTCTTCTCGTAGCTCCAGAGCTTGTCGGCACCGCCCTTCTCAGACTTGCCGTCCATGTCAAGGCCGCCCTCGTCGCGAGAGTACGAGTAGCCGTAGGGGCCGAGACGACCGAAGCGCTCGAAACACTTCTTGTCGTCAAAGCCAATCTCCTCATATGAACCGAAGAAGGGCGCAGTCATGTTTTGAGGGATGCCGGGGTAGGCGTAGATGTCGGGGAGGTCAATCTTCTCTTCCTCGTCGAGGTAGCAGGTCTTGACTTCATCGTGCTCCTTGAGGTACTCGGGCGAGTCAAACTTGTATGGGTCGAATGGCTGTAGCTCCAGCGGCGGCTCCTTGTCCTCCTTGGACATGTGCGGCCACTTGGGCTTGATGTTGTCTTCCGGGTTGGGGCTTTGCGAGTACTTGACAAAGTCCTGCTCTGACACCCAGTCGCCGTAGGGAACAAGCGTGCGAACGCCATTGAAGAAGCCATTTAACCTGACCAGTTAGCGTGCGAAGGGTTGAGTTGTGACTGGATGCTTACCGAGGGTAGTGTTCCCAGTGGTACTGTTTCCGCTCATCGCCTGTCCGTTGCTGTGCGTTCCACCTGTGTCTCCTGTAGATACCCGTGCCGAGCATCGAGGCCAGCAGCACTATCGTCACCGCGAGAGTGATGAGACGCGCGAACGAGAGTCGTGGGCGCTGCAGGCGGTTGGCCCAAGCGGGCTGGCGGTACTTGTTGCCCCATGACTTGCTGCTGAAGAGCGGCAGCGGTGACGAGGCCTGGCTGTCCTGGCCGGGCACCTTTTCGTAGTTGAAGCGCGTTCGGATGAACAGCTTGCCAGGGTTGAATCGCGAGGCCATTGTCGAGATTGTGTGTGCGGATGTGCTGTGCAGCGTGTGGGTTGCCTATCGCATCTGCGGCGAGGCTGCGCAAAGGAGGTCGCTCGGCAAGTCGGGATGCAGGTGCGTGGTGTCAACTCGGCCGCGCGAGTGAGGTCGAGAGCAAAGCAGGCACGACACTTGGGACGACAGCGGAGAGTGAAACGAGTGACTGTCCTGGAGACGGAGGCAGGATTCTGGCGATGGCTTGGGCGTTGGGGAGAGAGCGCGGGCTGAGCAGGAGCGACCGACCCTTTTTCCCTCGTTGCTCGCCCCAGACAGCCTAGCGCTGCCTCGCACCTGCCGTCTACTGTAGCGCTAACTTACAAGGGTCAACCACCGACTTCTGGAGCACCACGGCGGGACTGTATAGGCTAGCCCACGCACCGGTGCCACTCCAAGACGTGCAGAACTCTCCAGATACTGCCCATCACAGCCGATCCGCCCCCTCCGCGTCTTCGCAGCGCTCTCAGCAGCGACGGCGTGAAGCCTCTGCGTTATCGTCGAGCGCAGCCCGCCACCAAATCAAATGGCGCCCAGCTATCAATTCACTCTATCGGGCCCTGCATGAGCCATGGCAAAGCGCACTATGCAACGGCCTGCCCTCCCGCCTCAACAACGTCGAGCGGAGCTTCTATTTTTTCTTGACGTCTTGCAACTCTTGACGTACTTGGCTGGGTCCTGCGATGGGTCCTCAATAATGCGACTCTGCACTTCCCCTGCCGCGACACACGCAGCTGGGCGAATGATGCGATCGCGAGATGCTCAAATTCGCCGTTCCCTGACCCCTGGGCGTTCGCAGCGACAAGGTGGCGTTGTCTGTGATTGGCTTGGCCAGCGCCCCTAGGCTTGCATCCGACACCAGCATACGCGTCCTCTTCGAACGGCGCGGGCGGAACAGTCTAGGCTAAAAATACCTTCCCATCGAGCCACCGCGAAGTGGGCTCAGCTCAGCGAGGCGATGAGCCCAGTCGCAGGGACGCCTGAGCAGTTAGCTGCTGATATAATATTGTTGCATTGCCTCCTCATATGCTGAAGCTGTCAATTTGCATGTCACCTGTCCTTCGCCTGCAGTCAGTGGTGTTGAGCCATCTCGGCCCCTCTGACAGGCCCCACAGTTCCAATACTCTCTGCTGCTGCAGAACAAGGGCACAACTCCGCCGGAGCACATGGTATCCCACCCGATGACGTTGAACCGCGTGGATCCCGTCTGAGATGTAACCCTCTCCATGCGCACATCATCAACACGCCGACCGGTGGTCGTTTCCAGGAGCAACAGCGCGGGCGCGTAAGCACCATGCCGAACTGTATTTTCGAGACACCAACTCCAAAACCTGAGAGGTATAGCTTGAGACCACAGCTCGTCGATGATTCCCGGTAACCGCGGCGAATAATACCGCCTATAATACAGACATCGCGATGCAGTTTCGATAACATTCGATAACATGTGCGCACGTCCGCGATACCATCCACAACGCTACCGTCTGCACTTGGTCTCGGGATCAGCTAGCTCGCTTTTTCAACACTTCCCCAAAGCGATTCTGGAACCGAGCGGAGGCCAACGCTCTACGACGTCTAGCCCTTGGTGTTTCTTTCGACCGTCGAGAGCGATCGCATGTTGATCGCGTATCAGGCGCGGTAGTCGACTGGTAAGAGCGACAGCTTCCAGGTGTGTGGGCACAATACGCTAGTTGGCAGAACGACCGCAGATCTTGCTTGCGTGTTTGAGGTGCAAGTGCAACTTGGAACTTGCGTGGCCCTTTACGCGTGCGCCTTTTCTGCAGGATCGAGCTTTGATCATGAGAACTAGTGGGGACTGTAGTGAGTTACAGCGTTGTGCTAGCAGAGCGCAGCGCCTCTTGGCTTGCGAGAAGGCGCATAGGACTATTGTATGCACCGATAGCGGATAAGCATGACCAAGAAATCTTGTAGGCTTCTGTCCAGGCGACACGAGTGCAACGCGGTTGATGTAAGTGTAATGCGTAGTAGCAGAATGAAACGAGGCCCAAGCAGGTCGACTTAACACCCGCGTCGATGCGCGCTGTCTTGAAGGACAGTCGAAGAAGCAAGTTGCTGTGTCTCGTGGGCATATCCAAGGCGCGAGCCGCAAAAGACAAACATGTCATCGTCGATTTTGTTAGTGCACCCCAATGTTGGGAATCTCTTTGAAACCGTCAGTCTGTCTGTGTCGTCTCATTGACCTCGCTCCATTCCACTTGCGCATCTGAAAGCGAACTTGCACCTGCAGTGTCTGGTTTATCAGCAAATCTGTGTCCGGTCATGGCGAAGCAAATTGTCCGACTTCGTAAGAAACTTCATAGATGGCTAGCAGCCCATGGACGTGATCAGACGTATGCTTCCTGAATGACGTACACGTGGAAGAAGAAAATTGGTCGCGTAGAGCACATTCAACTGTATTGCTCGGTTCTGCAGGCAGGTGAGTGCTGGAGATGCTGCGAGGCTGCGCCGCCGACAAGCCAATCAAGTGGCACTGAACTCCGAACGGGCCTTCAAATCTCCGACGACCCTTCCACTTTCGACTCATCGCCGCAACCCCACGTTCGTGACTGGAGTATTGTAGCAATTAACTTTCTATCACAACCGCAAAAATGCCTGGAACAAGGGGCCCTGTGCCCGTACCGCTCGAGACTAAAGGCCAAAATCTCACACAAGAAATTCTCGATCTCTTAGACACCAAGGAGCCCCTCCAGAGCAATGAAGACTTCCCCGCGATATCGCAAGCCGAAATCAAGGCTGCGCTGGACAGGCTAGCGAGTCGCTCGATGGTCCAATACAAATCACTGGACTCGGAAAAAGTCATTCTCACACCAGAGTCGGAAGGCATAGTAGCGGATGGCAGTCACGAATTCAGGGTCTGGCAGTACGTCAAGGAGAAGGAAAGAGTCCCAATCGCAGACCTACCTGTATGCATGCCATCATGGACCACATTGAGAATGAGCGACTGATACAACGCGTAGAACGTCTTCGGAAAGGAAGTTGCGAGTGTAGGACAGGGCAATGGATTCAAGAACAAGTGGATAAAGAAGGACGGGAGCGACATCATCCTCCTGCAGACCGAAGAGCCGAAAGATCTCAACCGCGAACTCCTTCAAGGCATCAAAGACACCCAATCTCTCGACGACGCCAAACTCCTCGCTCAGCTGAAGAAGAAGAAGCTCGTCACCGTTACGAAAGTCATCACATACACCATCACAAAGGGACCCAAGTACGCGAAGGAAATACCAGTAGAACACACAGACTTGACTGTGGAGCTGCTCACGAACGATGCATGGAAGACCGCCAACTTCAAGCCATACAACTTCGCTGCGCTCGGCGCAAACCAAGATTCTGGCGCATTACATCCCCTGAACAAGGTCAGGCAAGAGTTCAGGAATATCTTCTTCTCACAAGGCTTCGTAGAGATGCCTACAGGACAGTACGTATTGGTCCAGATGTCATACTTGTATGCGACTGACACTCTCTAGCTATGTCGACACTGGTTTCTGGAACTTCGACGCGCTCTTCGTACCACAGCAACATCCCGCCCGCGACATGCAAGATACCTTCTTCGTTTCATACCCACCAAAAGCCGATAAGCCGCGGTTAGACCCTGCGAATGAAGCGACAATGGACCGCATGGAGGCTGGATCAAAACGTCTCTTCTCTACACCCGAGAGCGAGAAGAAGGAAAAGAAGCCCAGGGACTTTGAGAAGTACTGGCAAGACGTCAAGAAGGTCCACCAAGAAGGCGCTTTCGGCTCAATAGGATGTTCGTTTCTATCTAAACCCCCGTTGAACATGGACCTATACTAATACTGCACAGACCGATACCCATGGGAAGAGGATGAATCCCTCCGCCTCGTCCTCCGCACGCACACAACCGCAGTCTCAACATGGGCTCTCCACCGCCTCGCCGAAGACCCACGCCCCGCCCGCTACTTCTCCATCGACCGCGTCTTCCGTAACGAAACCGTCGATGCAACCCATCTCGCCGAGTTCCACCAGATTGAAGGTGTCATCGCAGACTTCGGCCTCACACTAGGCGGTCTCATGCGCTTCCTAGAAGACTTCTTCGCCAACATGGGCCTGACAAACCTCCGCTTCAAACCTGCCTTCAACCCTTACACCGAGCCCAGTATGGAGATCTTCGGCTTCCACGTCGGTCTCGACAAGTGGATCGAGATTGGCAACAGTGGCATGTTCAGGCCAGAGATGCTGGAGCCTATGGGTCTGCCCAAGGATATGCGCGTCTACGGATTCGGACTCAGTCTGGAGAGGCCGACGATGATGAAGTATGGGGTTTCGAATATTAGGGAGCTGTTGGGTCACAAGGTGGATTTGAGCTGGATTCGGGAACAGCCGGCAGTGCGCTTTGACAAGGAGTAGGGTGGTGGACGAAAAGCAAGTAGACGATGCGCATGACTGTAACGATGGAACTTACTCTGTGCAAATGATATCCAAATCAAGACCAAAATGGCTTTTGAGAGATGAGTTTGTTGTTGCTACTTTGCGCAATCTCCACCATGTTCCGTGCCACCTTCTTCGGTCATTGATCAAATGACAACACCTCGACGCTGGGAAGTTTGATCTCTCAAGAAGCATCTGCGTCATGTTGCGCTGACCCTGCCACCATAGCTTTCGCCTATGTGAGCCTCGCGCTTCTTCTACGCATTGATACTGATCCTGTTGGTATCTTCTGTGTTTCGTTCTCCTCTCATTTCAGTCCAACTCACTCCTTCTCCAAACTACTCTTAACATCCTCCTCAACCATCTTATTCCTCGCACCCTTATAAATCCAACTCTCCTCCTGCTTATCACCACCCCACTTGTTCTTCGCCCATATTAACCCGTCCTGACCCAGCCCAAACCCAGCCCCAACAAACAGACCCAACCGAATCGTTCTCGCAGCCGTCGAAACAGGAAATTGATGCCACGCGCTCCACAATCCACCCGTAACCATGCCCGCCAGCCCACTCGATATGAAATCCCTACTCCCCGCTATCCCCTTATTGATCCTCCGCATATCCAATTCATCCACACCCTCCATCTCCTCCATCGTACGTCCCGCGCTCCATGTACCCCGGAACACATCTAAACTCTCTTCTACGATGAAGAAGACTGACGACCATGCTGCAATATATGCACCTTTTCTTAATCCCTCAACGATGCCGTAGCGCCATTTGTAGTAGTTCTTCGACTTGTGGTAAAGGTACCAGCCGGGATTCGAAATGGGCAGGCGGTGCGCGTTTTCGGCGCGGAAGCGCAGGGAGGCCATGTGGCCGGCGTTTAGGGAGCCGAGCGTGAAGCCGGAGAGGAATGAGAGCGAGGTGGTGAGGAGGAGGCGCCGGTCGAAGGGCATGCCTAGGCGGGGTGCGTATGGGAGGGGTTGTATAGGCCGTTGGGGTGGTGTCGCGAGCATTTCTTGGGGTGGCATTGTGGATTGCGTGGGCGCAGTTGTCGCCATTGTTGAATTGTGGTGCCCTTGGGCGCGATGTTCAGTCGTGGTCTCCCTGAGAAGGTGATCGTTGGGTGAGGTTTGCGACGGGTGCGGAGGTGGTGCGGAGATGCCTCAAGTCCGATTTCGTCAGACTTCCGAGCGCGCGCTGAATTTGCGGATGATACACTAGACACACTTTACTGAATGCGCTTAAGAAGATCCGGAAAGCAAGTGAGTCTCGTGGTATACGGGCTGGAATAGATGTGAGGTGAAGATCGGGGAAGCTCGTGAGCTCGACTCGCCAAGATTTCTAGCAAGGGTTCAGGTCGCGCCTTCCTCCCCGCGAACCCCTCCATTACTTTAGCAACAACGCGTCTCTATCCCTCGAACACTACAGCGTCACTCGCAGATACCTGTATATTCTCTCTGAACGCGTACAATACACGTCCGACGACTATACCCTATCCTACTCCACCGCCACATCACGATGGCGACGCCTTCACCGCAGACCTGGACGCTTCGTCTCAAGGCTCACAAGACCACCGTCATCCTACACGTCGACCCTCTACACACCTTCGATACGATCAAGACATACCTCTACGACGCTCTACAAGAAACCGACTTCAAGAACCCCGAGACCAGCGAGTCAATACCACTACCTCCATCCGCGTCAGACATCCAGCTCGGTCGGCCAGTGAACATCAACGACGCAAACGAGGGTTTCGAATTAGGAGACTGGGAATATGCCATCGGCGAAGAGGAAGAGGAGGGCGGCAAGGGTAAAGGCAAAGCGAAAGCCAGTGGAAGCGCCAATGGTGGAGCGAAAGCAGGCACAGCGAATGTCAAGCAATGTCCCAAGGGCGCTGGGCTGAAGGACGGCGCTGTGTTAGCCTTCCGGTGGCCCGGTGACGGCAACTGGGATGGTGAAGATGAGATCGACGTTGATGAGGGAAGACCCGGAAAGGCTGGAGATATGTGGGGTGTCAAGCTGGCGAGCTTCGAAGATGCGTACGGTGTTGAGAATGAAATGGATGTGGGTGGTAGACCGGAATTCGAGGGCTAAGCGGACACGGATCACCACTTTTATATGCTATTGGCCGTAGGAGAACACCTGTACCCGCGAATTTGCTACGCTTCGGATTATCTGGAACAGCCAGGGAGGGCAGAACGATTGTCCCCATGACTTCGAGATGGAGCATTTCAACGGGCCCCAAACGACAACGTCGCCCAGCGAATAATGACGGATGGTTCCGCGAAGCTGCGGTACAGTGGGCACCGAAACTGGGAAAGAGACGTGCCGAATGAGAGGAACTATGACCGCAACGGACAGTTCAGTGAACGTTAGAAGGGTGTGCGATGCAACTACAGTGCAATGAGAACGACCCAGAACCTGGATGAGTATCCAGTGGTTATTTAGCCAGGAGTGGAAGACAGAACATCTGACAGAATGGGCAAAGCTTACAGTCCATGTCGTCGTATCATATCATATTTCCTAATTACGTGGCTGTCGTGTGCTGTGCCGCAATGTCACATAACCTGAGAGCGCGCTACATCACGAATAGGTTAGTTAGCCACAACCGGACCGACCCAGTGTCTTAGGCATAAACATACGTTTCTCTCCTGGCACTTCAATCACAACGCCGTCTACCGCGATTCGTCTTTTAATCTTTCCGCCTAACCGTTGTTACTCACACCTACCCCCAGCCACAAGTATGATGCTCTACGATGCGCTAGCCCAAGAAGATGCAGAGCAGATGTACGAGGCTTGGAAGAAAAGACTTGACGCTGCACAGAAGGACATTGTTGACTTCGTCATCAAAGAAGTTGGAAGTGATGTTGTGGGAGAGTTTGGTGGCTATCTCGAAGAAGGGTCCTACAACATCTGCCTGGTCGTCAAACTCAACGCAAAGCCTACATATGTCATACGCTTTCCCCAGCCAGGAACAACAGCTGCATGTTTCTTGGATGAGAAAGTTCGGAACGAAGTCCAAGTCATGGACTTGCTGCGCGAAACCACGATCCCTATACCGAAAGTATACAGTTGGGGTCTGACTAGCGATAGCCCGTCACAGCTTGGCCCGTATGTCATAATGGAGTATGTTAAAGGCAAACCATTGATCGAAGAGTTACGAAGACCTACAAAAACCGATGACGGTGTCGAGATGGAACTCTGGAAAAACTTGGGCAACCCAAGAGTTCTTCATGCCTACAGCCAAATAGCCGACTACCTGCTGCAAATACATCAGCTGGATTTCAATGCTGCCGGTGGTTTAAGAATGAGCAGTTCAGACCAGTGGGTTGCTAGCGAGCGACCTGTCACCGATAACATGAACATTTTAGCAAGGAACATTCTGAATTACCCAACCGAGTACTTCCCTACTACAAGCATCTCATCTCCAAAGGCCTACTTTGAGCAGCTCGCCGATCAACACCTAGCTCATCTTCACACCCAAAGAAACGCCGTGGAGAACCGTGAAGACGCTAGAAGATGTTTCATCGCTCGCCATCGCCTCAAGCAATCGATCGACCAATACCTGTTAACCGACACCGAAACAAGCCCCTTAAAGTTATATTGCTGGGACCTTCGCCCGTCTAATATCCTCGTAGACGACGATCTGAACGTCAAAGCTGTCCTGGACTTCGAATTCTGTAACGCACTGCCCGCGCAATTCGCCCATGACCCGCCCTGGTGGCTTACTATCTTGCGACCGACCACGTGGATCGACAATGACTTCCATTTTGGTGCCCTGAAAGACAGACTTGAGCCTCACATCGAACAGTTCCTGCAGGTTATGGAGAAGAAAGAGAAAGAGATGAGGGGAACTGTAGCACCGCTGTCCGCTCGCATGCGCGACTCGTGGACTTCCAACAGATTTTGGTTCAACCTCGCTATGAGTGACAGCTGGAGTATTGATGCTGTCTATTGGGCTGCGCTGCACAAGCCGGGTAATGAGGTACTAGACGATGCCTTGAAGGCCGAGATGGAAGTATTTGTGGAGATGAAAATCAAGCAACTGGATGCATATAAGGCTGAATGTAAGGCACGTGGTATTTGAGATCGAGAGAATATGCCGGGGTGCTTCACTTTGCCTCGTTCAATGTAACCGATACAACTCGGCTCTTCGTTAGTCTCATCGTCTACAATTCGATTCCCCGCATCCCAGCTTGCATCAAACATGCTGTTTAAATTTAAGGTGCGGGCCGAGAAGCGTTCTGAAGTCCCCATGATCATTCTGTTGCACTAGTTATTGTGACTACCTAGGTAGGTTAGCATGTTTCCTATCATCCCGACAGCGAGCCAATGGCGAAGTCGACGATATGGAGGACTACGATGGATGCGGCAAACGACCGAAGCGCTTTACATTGTTCAGTGATAGTTGGTGCAAAAGACGGACGCACTATAGTAATTGGTGCCCGGAGCGGGTCGATGCATCTGACGGAGCAATGTTCCACGAATCTGGGGTACGGTACTTGGGGTGTACATGGGTGTGTGCCGGACATGCTAATGCTATGCGGCTCGCGAAACTCGTGGAAGCAATTAAGTGGACTTCATTGTGTTTCTTGGGGCCTGTCCATGTGGTCAGTCAAGCGCTCCAGGGTACCTACATGCCGACTTCAAACCAATGAAGTTTGATAGAAGCCGAAACTATGTGCATGCCGGGAGACTACCTCCGACCGAGAACAAGAGATCGTCGCGTCCACGGAGGCCATCGAAGATCCGCTAATCATGCGATGTTGGATGAGAAACATGTATATAGCCAGGAAAGATGAACTTCCAAATGCCCTTCACTAGGTCAGTCAATCGCTCAAGATTCGATCTCTACTACTTCTTTTCTCCCCAAGACCTTTCGAGACGACAGATCTATCGACCATGTTCCCCAAGATTGCATCTCTTCTCGCTCTTGTGGCCAGTGCAAATGCACATGGCTATCTCTCTTCTCCTATGAGCAGGACTGGTCTGAATGCTCAGGTAAGTTATGGCGTCCAGTTAGGGACATCAGAGGTATACCCCGTGCCGTCGTTAACACGTTACAGTCTGGCGCTGATACATGCCCGGAATGTACCATCCTCGAACCTGTTACAGCGTGGCCTGACCTCGACGCCGCAGCGGTGGGCCGCTCAGGCCCCTGCGGTTACAACGCCCGCGTGTCCGTCGACTACAACCAGCCCGGTCCTCGCTGGGGTTCACAACCTGTCATCACCTACAAATCTGGTGATGTCGTCGATGTACAATGGTGCCTCGATGCCAATGGTGACCATGGTGGCATGTTCAGCTACCGCATCTGCCAGAATCAGGCTCTCGTTGACAAACTTCTGACGCCTGGGTACCTTCCTACGGAGGCCGAGAAGCAGGCTGCTGAAGACTGCTTCGAGGCTGGTGAGCTGAAGTGCACTGATGTCGCTGGACAGACGTGTGGCTACAACTCTGACTGCCAAGAGGGCCAGCCTTGCTGGAGGAATGACTGGTTCACATGTGAGTACATCTCAATGTCTCGGGATAGTAACGCGATACTCACACTAAGTAGGCGGTGGCTTCAATGATGGCTCAAAATGCAGGAGCGTCGACAACGCACCACTCAATTCGTGCTACACCAGCATCGCAGGCGGATACACAGTCAGCTCGAAGATCAAGATCCCCAACTACTCAAGCAACCACACGTTGCTGTCGTTCAAGTGGAACTCGTTCCAAACACCGCAGGTTTACCTGACTTGCGCAGACATTAAGATTACTGGCAGTGGCTCAGGTGGCTCAACACCACCAGCATCGAGCAAGGCTCCCGCGTCTTCGACGAAGGCGACTTCAACCTCGACAGCGGCACCTACTGGCTGCGCATCGCCTGTATCCACAGTAGCTGTGACGTTCAACTCGAAGACCACAACATCGTTCGGCCAGACAGTCAAGATCGTTGGTTCGATTGCCCAGCTCGGCAGCTGGAACGCAGCGTCTGCGCCTGCGCTATCTGCGAGCCAATACACCACCGCAAACCCGCTTTGGTCGACAAAGATCAACCTTCCGGCTGGTGTCAGCTTCGAGTACAAGTTCATCAAGGTCGAAAGCAGTGGTACCGTGACCTACGAGTCAGGTGCTAACCGCGTGTATACCGTGCCGAAGGGGTGCTCGAGCGCGGCCACCGTTGCTAGCACGTGGAAGTAGAGCCGCAGGTTCCGGAGAGAGAAGGAATGTTGTATGCTTTCTTGGTCGTATTAGAACGGCATGGAATGTGTTGGTTGTTCAATGTAGCAAATAATGCCAAACACTTGCTGCAACCCGTCACGCCCCCCGACAGCGCTTGTGATGAATGAAGATGCAGGAGTCCAAGAACGCTTCAGGTTTCATTAGAGAGATTCTAGGTTTCGGGCGCATTATGTTCTTCGTGAGGTGTGAGGATGGTAGGTGTTCGTAATGGCTGACGACTGCCACGCCGTGACGCGACATCCTGACGCGACAACACTAGACTGAAATCAGGCTAGCGCTTGTTGACACCGGCCATCGACACGGAACTGCTGCCTACTCTACACTCAAACCCTCGCGTTACCCTCGACCCTTGCATTTTATATACAGCTGCCCTCCAAAACGCAAACTTTGATATCGCAGACATGCACCGCGTACAGAAGTGTTGATCGTAATGAAGACCGAATTTGACAAAATCGCGGAGGAGGCTGGGAATGCTGAGCTCGAGGCTTGGGCGGCGAAGGTAAAGGCCGCAAACCAAGAGATAGTCACTTTCGTAGGCGAGAAGCTGAAGACCAATGTACCGGGAGAATTCGTCAGATACCTTCAAGGTTCATACAATGTCAATCTTGTCATAAGATTTGGCGAAGAAGACATCGTTATCATTCGTTTTCCCAAGCGAGGAATAACTGCTGCCAGATTTCTGGAGAAAAAGGTCAAGAACGAAGTTCGCTTATTAGAGTATCTGGCAGAGAAGACCACACTACCTGTTCCCAAGATACGTGACTGGGGTACAGCTAAGGACAGCCCTTCTCAGCTTAGTCCATATATCATCATGGATTATATTGAGGGCACAGAGCTGTCGGAGCTCTTGGAGCAGCTGCAAGACGATCATAAAGAAGCAGAAGTCGATCTTGTATATGAGCAGATAGCCGACTACATGCTCCAGATTTCGCGACTGCACTTTTCGGCCATTGGACCTGTCAACAAGGATACGTCGGGAGCGTGGACGGTGACTGACCGTCCCCTCACCACAAACATGAACAACCTAGCTTCTGTCGTTACAGACTACCCGGTAGATCAGTTTCCTAAAGCCGCGTTCACCAGCACCCAAGCCTTCCTTCATTACCGTGTAGACGAGAATTTGGTCCATCTCCAAGTACAGCGGAACCTTGCACACAGTCGTCAGGATGCAGAGAGATGCTTCATTGCACGCCACAAGTTCAAACAGCTGATTGAGCGATATTACCCTCCGTCCGAAGCCGATGAGGGCCCATTCATACCGTATTGCCATGACTTCCGTCCCAAAAACATGCTCGCCAGATATGATGACGGATCACTGAAGATCGTGGCGGTTCTAGATTTCGAGTTCGTCAATACTATGCCCGCTCCGTTCGCTTACGACCCACCATGGTGGCTTGCCATGGTCAGTCCTGGCCTTATGCTTGAGCGATTCGCTATGGAGGACTTCGAAGCCTTGTACGTGCCACGCTTAGAGCAATTCCTCCGAGCCATGGCGAGGGTTGAGGCAAAACAGATAGAGGGACATTCGAGAGAGATAGTCTCTCTCGCTGATCGCATGCGAGACTCTTGGACGTCAAAGAGGTTCTGGTTCAACTACGGTATCAGGAAAGGCTGGGATGTTGACGTGGTATATTGGAGCGCTCTCCATGAACCGGGAGATGAAAAGCTTAGCGAGAACTTGGAAGAGGAGATGAGTTCTATCGTTGAAAAGAAGATGGAGCAATTGGCGACATACGAAGCCGAGTGTGAGGCGCGCGGAATCTTGTTAGGCAATTGAGCTAGAACAATAGACCGTCGGCTATGTTTCTCTTACAAGCAAAGTTCATGAGTACTGCCAGACTCCTCTATCCGTGTCTCTGAGACGCAACCTTGCACTGCATTACAAACATGAATGCTACGAGGCATTCGTTTTTGTATCGAGAAATGCGACGAGAGCGATAAGAAGCGCTCCTGTTTGTGTCAGCTCCCTTATCAATCAACAAGACGTGTGCTGGTTTGAGTGTACCTGCTGTTACCACATAGCTTCCGATAGTGAAACCTGTCTGAAAGCTGGTCTGAACATCCGCCTTGAAGCTTGCTACTGCCACAGCAGACCAAATGATCGAGATGCTAAGACTCAGTGCAATCGGAAAGAGAACGACCAAGCTGGCGACATGTGGATCCCAGCCTCGCACAATATTGAGTGCATTGATTTGTTGGTGACTCGCGGTCAAAACGTCCTCCGTCACAAGCCTGTCCCGTATGGCAGTTCCTGTAACATCAGATGGATCTCTGAAGTAGTAGATCTGGCGACTGTAGGACCCATGTCGACCTAATTCTAGGGAAACTCCGAGACGATCGCCAACTGCATGGTCTTGTTGCAGCTGATGATTAATTATAACATTAGCAAAAGAGCGGCGATAGCGTAAATGATTTTCATAATCTCATACCTTTACTATATCGATTCTCTGGCTTGTCTTCAGTCCAAGAACCTCGAAAACACCGCGCCCCGTCCGGGCCAGGTCGTAAAACATCCGCAGATGCTCTAGAAGCGCCTTGTCTTTTGCGTCTTTTAAGCAGGGAACCGCGAGACGCCAGCCGTTATCCACAAACATGATCAATTCTTTATCAAACCCTTGTTGAATGCTCCATGCTGCCGTATAGTCTTCAATGAATTCAGTTCCGTCTTTTGCGCACACAAAGTACATGTGCCAGAAAAAGTGCCATGCAGGATTCGTTTGTCGCGAGATGATCCTCAGAAACGAACGCTAGCATGTTTTAGTATTGACTTCATGGCATGCAGACTGTACCATACACACCAGTATAAACCCGCGCATCCTGACAGAACTAGCGAAGTCTCCTGTTCCAAGTCCGCATTTCGAGAAAACGATTGACAAGAACCTGATGAGCAACCAAACGAAAAACAAAGGGGGGATTCTGAACTGGATTAACAAGAACTAAACTCCCACTCTGCAGCAGACCATCCAGCGCCATCCAAAAAGGTAGAAAATGTTGGTTACGCCAATGTCTCTCCCGGCAGCACGATGTGTGATTAACGCTTCAGAGACGAACATTGTCGTCGCGGAGAAACTCAAATGATGGATCAGCGGGGTGTTGTGTGAGACATTAGAAAGAGAGGATCATCTTTGAAGTAGAGATCTCTCCGCGAATGTGGGCTGGTGCCTGACGCGATCTGAAAATTGGCGCTAAGTGCTCCAGCTGAGGCATCAAGTATATCTTAGTAGTATAAAGCGTGGCGAAGCTTGCCTGTTCAAACTTTTGGTGTAATTGAGGCGTAAGGCTAGAGCAGCCTTAGGCTTGCTTCTCCCCATCCAGGATCTCTAGCTGATGAGGAGCTCCGAGGCGACTAGCATATGATGGTATTGTGTGATCTGAATTTGAGAGACAGAAGCCTCTTTGAATACCAGCTTATCCGATGATAGAATGAGCTTGTGGGATCTGGCTGACATTCGGTAAGTTGAGGTTGTGACGAAGGCATCCTCTTAGCCTGAAAGACACAGCCCCGACCCCGCCCCTTCGCTTCGACCTTGGCAGGTCTGCGGCTGACTTCCATGAACAACAACAACGCTGGGTCTTTACACTAGTCTGATGTTTGCCCCATAATTCTTAGGCGGCAGCTGGCATAGCAATACTGAGAAAACAATGTGCCCCGCGCATGTCACCATGCTTTCATACATTATACTGCAATATGATCCCAAACGCCTCGCCATGCTGAACTACAACGAGGAAGTACTGTAAGTGTACACATATGTCCTTGCACTGAAGAAGCGGCCAGGGTCGGCTGTGAAGTGGCTCGGGACATGCGCCTGGGTTTCCAAGCCACACAGCCCGCGTGCCAGATACCGCGATACAAAGAACATCACTATGCAGGTTGGCCACATACCTTGCCCTACAATCTTCTGCCCCTGTTGTCTTCACTAGGACTGACAGTCCCACTTCCATTCATCGACCCATAGCCATTCGCTCCTTGACTTCCACTGGCAGCTGGCATAAGCGACTCTCTTGCTTCCTCAGCCTCCTCTTCGATGTTCTCCCTTTGGATCCTATGGCTCTTTCGCCATACAAACGCCACAAGGGCTAGACCGACGAGCAGCGCCAAGCTAAGCAAGATGACGTTGATGGGTACAGGGTCGTTCTTGAAAGTCTTGTGTGTAGCAGCGTCGAGAGCAGATTGCGAGAAGTTGAGGACACCGGCGAGGCAGATGATGAGGCCGTAGACTTTTCCGAAGGTGGCGAAACCGAAGACTTTGGCGGAGTAGTCGCTAGTAGTAGTGTTAGCAAGGAGCTTGAGAGCGGAAGATTGGACAACTTACGATACTGCAGTGTAGTACAAAGGTCGGTAGAGCACGAAGAGAACGATGTTGGCGTATGCAGCCCACGTCTCCGGAATCACACCTAGCACACCAATTGTGGTAGCAACAGTGACGAGCAGCGCCATCGTGAAAGTAGTACTTGTGTTGTCGAGGAGCAGACCGATGAATGGTACAGACAATACTCCACCAACCGGGAGCGCGACATCGAAGAAGTTGTTGATCTCGACCGCCTTCTCGTAGTCATGGAAAAGGTACGTGTACTGCGTCCGAATAGTAGCGACAAAGTAATTAATACGCGTCATCTGCAGCACTGTGAACAGCGTAATGAGGATGAACCAGGGAGTGCGAATCTGCTGGCTGGCGGTGCGACCGTGTAGCGCACCCCATACACCTGAAATGTTCTTCTTCTTGTCTTCCTCTTGTGCCTGCTTCTGGCCATCTTTCGTGCCAAGCAAAGACGTGATCTCGCTAACAATGCTGTCGCGATGTGCTCGTCGCGCATCTTGAAGGCTTCGAACCGTTGCTGCATCTTCAATCTCGTCGTCTGAGTCATGGATGACCTGCTCTTCCTCCGCGCTAGTGACGAGTTCACCAACCGTCTTGTACGATACCGATGGCATGAAGAGAATCTGAACTGCGAGGATAAATGCCGGGACGATCAGGTAAATAAGGAAGAACTTCTTGATCGAAAAGTTGCCATCGGTGCCTTGGTAGATGAGTCGGTACATCAAGAAGATCGCGCTCGAGGTATCGAAAGCTCCAGTCAAAAGCGCCAAGATGAGTCCAGAGTATTGCGGAAACGTGTTGCTAAGCTGGAACGACGAGATGAAGATGAACGGTCCACCCAGCGCCATGAACAAGTATCCAGGGATGAACGCGTCGAAAGCCAATTCCTTTGCGAATGCGAAAAGCAATGCGCCAATCGTTATAGATATCGCACCAGTTATTCCGCACACGCGTGGTCCGAAGCGATCGAGGATTGTACCGACGGGAAGCGCGACGACATTCGTAGACACGGCAGCGATCGTAAACATGAGGTTGAGCCGGAGCTCCTGTTCGTAGCAGACGTGAACATCTTGATCCAGCTCTTCTTTTGTGCAGTAGTCTCTGTAGACACCTTCCTCGAGGAGTACGGGTTTTATCGCGGCGTAACCGAAGACGACACCGGCGGCGAAGAGGCAGTAGATAACGGCGAAGAAGACCTGGACTACGTGATGTTAGCTTGTGTACACCCATGCTGTGTTCCGGGATACATACGCAGCCTTTTCCACCTAGGTACTTCAAATGCGCCTATGGTTGGCTCTTCGCCTGTTTGTTCGGTCCAGGTGCCGACTGGGTTGAAGCTCATCTTCCGGTGCCTGGAGTCCGGGCTCGCCTCTCTACTCCACGGCTCATGCTCCTCCATCGATGTCACTCGTTGCGTGAGCGACATGCTGGGCTAGTATCTCCCCCCTTCCCAGAAAAATAAAATGTGAATAAGTCGTCTCAAGAATATCGCAAAAAGTAACAGTCTTGAGATTCTCGGCTCGCGTTCAAAGTTTATCCGGGGATGACGTCGTACCGACGAAGCTCAGGTCCCTTAGAGAAGCAATTGGCCAACCAAACTACCTCAATAAGAACCACGATCTCAAAGTCCGCGTTTGAATATCCCGTGGCACTGGAAAAGATGGGAATCAGGGTTCTATATACACAAGCACGGCGTCGAATGGCGTAAAGCGGGGACTAACTGGCCTGCAGCCGGGTGCATGAAGGCGCTGACAATCCGACGCGCTGGTTCGCGCGTGATCACCAAATGCTCGGCTTTTAGGATTCCATTACGCAGTATACACATCACGTGTGAGCCATTTCAGAGGCTATGCGCTCATCTAGAGGATCTGCAATGGATCTTACGGTCATCCTTCACATTCGCGCACGTCGTGAAGTCGCAACGCTCTGAAGCTCCGTTGGTTAGGCTTGCTGCTTGCGACAGCCAATGAACGCGCGAGTCAGCCGCGGACAGGGAGCTTTGGTAACCGTGCAGATGGGATGGCATCAAATTTTCCTTTTTACCACCTCCGCCTGTTCGCTGAACGCCGATACACGATGGACGCCTTCTGCAGGCGTTTCCCGATGCAGTAATTTCGAAACTTGCGAGAACGAATGCGATTGCAGAGATTTCTATCGGTTTGCAAGGGGTGGAAGTATGCATCTCCGTCGGACAAGTCTAGATCTCCATGGTATATACTTGGCTGTTGTTCCCATGTTCCCGGGGGTTTCTAGGATTATGCATTCAAGATGCACTGGGTTTGGTCTGACAAGATGACTGTCAGACTGGCATGTCTAGGATCACCTGGGTGCAACTCTCGGTCCCACCGGATATTTTGAATGACCCTCAATCAACGCATTGCCGCGACTGAAGCCCTGATGTCTTCTGGACGACGGCACACTGCATCATGTATACTCGTATGCCAAAGAGCTTGTTAGT